GTTTAATCTTTCTGCAAGTTGTTTTTGAGTTTGATACACATCTTCATCCAATAATGCTTGTAATTGTTGGTCTTCAAACTTTTTAGGTTGACCTGGATGTTCTTTGTCTTTCACATCGAAATCATCACTTTTAAAGCGTTTAAACCAGTGTTCACAAGTATCTTGAGATTGAGCATGTTCACTATAAGGTTCCCGAAGTATTCAGCAGCACTTTTCTTCAAAATAAAGTAATGAATTAAAACTTCCCACAAATGCTCCTTTTTTGGCACGAAATTAGATATTTTTAAGTGTAAAAATATCTATAATGTTAACACCTTCAGAAAATTTGACATATGAAGTTTATTTTCTTTTTTTTATTGTTTAAAGTATTACAAATAGTAGTACATATGTCTCCTTTTTTTTCCCAGTTGACCTTCCCCCAGCCTCCACTACCCCCCGGGCACATGCCCTCACCCCACTCCCAGTGTCTTGCGTCCATTGGTTATGCTTATATGCATGCATACAAGTCCTTCGGTTGATCTCTTACCTCCCCCTGCCCCCCAACCCTCCCCAGCCTTCCCACTGTCACTCATTTATGGATAATAAAGAACATTATAAACTGATGAACAAAAATAGATACAGAGGCAGAGAAGCATCGAACAGACTGGTAAACGACATATGAAGTTTTGAAGCTAGTTGTCAATACAACAAAATAGCATACATATCAAATTGCATATATATCAACATATGTGTAACTCCACCTATTGAAAAAAATCCTCATTATTAACTGATACACCTAGTAAATAATATTCTATTAACTATGTATGGTGTTAGGTGGGCATGAGATTTTTCTGGATGGTTTTTTAATGTCTAATCACTGGGGGGTACATCTGAAACATAATATTGTGTGTCAATTGAAATTGAAAAAATAAAAAAAGAAAGGCATATCTTTCTTGAGAATGTATTTTCTATTTCTGTTCCCTAATTTTTGTCATCTCTAATAATTCCTTTTACTTCAGAACTTATATTGGCAGGTTTTTGTTTTCTGTCAAAATAAATATACTTTAAAAGCACAACTATGCTGGAAAGAAGACAAGTGGATTAATTGATGAATGGATAAACAAACTGAAATATCCATACAGTGGAATACTATACTAAATAAAAGAGGTCAGACACAAAGACAACACATCGTATAACATTCTAGAAGAAGCAAAACTATAGCGACACAAAGTAGACTGGTCATTGCAAGGAGCCAAGTAGGAGGGGATTGAGTACAAAGGGAGAACTTTTTGGGGTGTTAGAAAGATTTTTTAATATATATTTTAATCCTCTCCCAAGGACATTTTTTCCATTTATTTTTTTAGAGAGAGTGGACGGGGGGAGAGAGAGAGAGAGAAAGAGAGAAAAACATGGATATAAGAGGGACACATTGATTGGTTGCCTCCCAAATGGGGGCCAGGAATTGAACCTGCAACTGAGGTACATGCCTTGACCAGGAATCGAACCTGAGACCCTTCTGTACTGGACTGATGCTCTAACCATTGAGCAAAAACATCCAGGGCAGGTTTTATTTTATTTATTTATTTAAATATATATTTTTATTGATTTCATAGAGAAAGGGAGAGGGAGAGAGGGACAGAAACTTCAATGATGAGAGAGAATCATTGATTGGTTGCCTCCCACAGGCCCCACGCTGGGGATTGAGCCTGAAACCCTGGCATGTGTCCTGACTGGGAATCAAACCGTGACCTCCTGGTTCACAGGTCAATGCTCAACCACTGGGCCACGCTGGCCGGGCCAGAGCAGGTTTTATATCTCTTGATTGTGGTAGTAATTACATGGTATAACTGGTATATGTATAAATTGTATATATTTGTCAAAACTCATCAAATTATATAGAGTAAACCATTTTTTGGACCTTGATTTAACAGACTTTGGATTTAATGGACAAATTTTCTGGTCCATATGTCATATGTGAAAATTAACACCCTGTTAATTTTAAAATGCTTTTAACCAAAATTTGCTTGTAATTAAATTAACAGGTTATCTTTTTTGTTGTTAATTCATTTTTATTTTTTAACAAATTATAGCAAATAGGCCATATGTTGGAAAAAACACTAGTAACTTCTCGCTGACATAGTTAAATATTACATATTTACAACTGTAGTCTATATATTTAAATCCAAGAGTCACCAATTGTAAACAATGTTTGGTAAATGATTAGGGTGTGATCACACAGCATTGCCAGTGGTAATTGGTTCTGTTGTCGAATGGCGTGACTTTCTGCAACAGTTTTAATGTATGCCAATGTTCTGATGTGCGCTAAACCATGCCCCAGTCGTGTGCATTTGTTTACTTGCGGTGACTGGTGAATGCACACATTTACTGTACCTACTATACCTATAAATATAAAATTTCAGTAATACATATAGAAAACTTTTCAATGAAATTAAATTTTTATGCATACTTAATTTTAATTACACAAACATGTCTACATAAATATAAACAGGTAAACTAATTTGTCAATTTTTTTAACATATGCTTTCGGAAAACCTGCTTTATTATATAATGGACTTTCAGCTTTAATGGACACCTCCTCTCCCTAATTAGCCAGTTATATTGAGGTTTTACTGTACAGAAAATTGCTGAATTCTATTGTATGTATATTATGCCTCAGTAAAGCTTTATGAAGAATCTAGCAAATTGCCCACCTCAGTTTTATCATACTCTTTAGGGGAAATAGATGTTTGTTTTTTTAACTAAAAATACAAAATGAAAATTAATGAGATTTATATTTTTTCAATTACAGAGACACAGCTAAGTTCCCCAGAAACTTTTGATGTTGAAAGAGAAGTCTCTCCAGGTAGCAGAGAGACCCGGGATGAAGTAACAATAATAATGGCAGATAAGGAGGTGAATATTCTCTCAAATTTTTCTCAGTGTTTTCTTTCTGTTGGTAGCCCTCTGCCTCCTGCATGCCCCTTACTGGGGATCGAGCCCGCAACCCGGGCATATGCCCTGACCAGAAATCAAACCATGACCTTCTGGTTCATAGGTCGACTCGCAACCACATCAGTCGGGCAGTTCATTTCTTGAAGTGAAGTTTCTTTTGAGGCTAAAAGGTAAGAGATCAAGATTTGGAATCCAGCTGCCTCTTTTGAGAAATGGCTGTATAGTATTTTACAGTAGTAAAAGAAATAGAAGTATTTCTGCAGAGACTTAATCCCTGATGGCATAGTCCTGATAAAAGTTTCTTTGCTTGATTTTTTTTATTTTTGTTTTTTGGCTTGGGGCTCCTCCATTATAGTTAATATATACAGTTTTCAATTTCTTTTCTTTATTGTTGAAACGTATTACAGATATCCCTTGTGTGTGTTTTTTTTCTTCCCAATGACCCCCTCCACTTCACACCCACTCTTCCCAGACCTTCATCACTCTATTGTCTGTGCCCATATCTGAATATAAGTTCCCCAGTTTATCACTCCCCACTCACCCTCCCCCCATAGTTAATATATAAATAGACCATTTTAATTGTGCTAGAAATATCTTATTTTAATATAGAAATGTTCAGAAACCTTCTGAGTTGCCTATGAGTGTGATTGGAAGTGGTCTTATCTTCACAATAAGACAGTAATAGACTATTCCCTCTTGAATACATTAAGAGTTGAAGGTACATTATCTACATTTTATAGAGCTGGTGATGAATGCAAAGGAGGATAGTACTGTGTGTGAACACTGTGACATTCATGTCATATAATATTTCTCTTCTTGGTGAACTTTAGAAGGCCAAGTAACTGCGCAGGCGACACTAACTTTCAACACCTCAAGACTACTTGCAAATTATCAGTATCTTTGATTTTCTCCCCTCTGCTCAAATGGCTTTGCATGTACAAGATGACTTTTCATTATAAAATTTATGAACAGAATAACCTGTATTTATAAGAAGCTCAGTGACTAAGCTTAGAATAAACAACACCTAGAACTTCTAGACCCACCTCCTCTAGGAGAATAATAGGATCATATAGTCTCCCAGTACCTGACAGAGTCAACTTTCAGAAACAAAGTGGAAGAGGGTGACTTTTGCTTTTGCCACACCATGGTAAAATGGAAATACTGAAGGTTTGTTATCATACAGGCCTGGGTTTGAGTCTAGATTGCCTACTTAGTAACTTTGTGATCAGTAGGTTACTTTGTCTTTCTAAGCTTCAATTTCCTCTTCTGTAATACTGGAGCTCGAGACACCTTTGTCAGTTGGGTTGTTGTGAGGGATGATTATGGAAAATGTTTGGTCAGACCTGGCATAGTATAGGAACTCAACCATTGTTAGTTCCTTTTTCATCTTTCCTTTTTTTCCCTTTCAGAATATGTCTTTTTAAGTATAAAACATGTGTTGAAAACAACATATTTTGGCAATTGTAGAAACTGTTTGATTTGGTATTTAGATGACCTGTTTCCCTCTCTGGTGGATCACATTCACTGCAGTAGATTTCAGGATGGCCTAAACTTAGAGACAACCCCCACACCCCAAAACCCAGTTGTTTCAGAGCTCAAATTATCTACCCATTGCAGTTTTGGTCCTGTTTTGTTCTTGTACTAGAAGATGGTTTATTTTTTTCCTGTAGTAAGGCATAATGACAGCCTTTGCTTTTAAATGGAAGCACTGGCTACGCAGGACAGTTTCACATTGATTGGACAGGACATGCTGTCCTTTGAAGCAAGTGTTAGGCAGTAGTACTGCAGTGCTTAATGCATACTGTTGAATTAATCACTGCGGAGTTCTCAGTTCTGATCTGTAAGGTAACATAAAACTGCCTCTGAGAGACAGTGGCAACTATTGAAAAAAATGATGACTATAATAGCACAAGGAGAGGAACAAGAGAGATAAGATATAAGAATGGCTTCAGCAGGCCTGACTGGTGTGGCTCAGTGGTTGAGCGTTGACCCATGAACCAGGTTTGATTCCTGGTCAGGGCACATGCCCGGTTGTAGACTCGATCCCCAGTAGGGAATGTGCAAGAGGAAGCCTATTAATGATTCTCTCTCATCATTGATGTTTCTATCTTTCTCTCTCCCTTCCTTTTTGAAATCAATAAAAAACATATTTTAAAAAATGGCTTCAGCAGAAATGTCTTAATGACTTTTATTTGGCCTTCTTAAATATTGGGTCTTAGTTGTATTAAAACCGTCCAAAAGTCATAAAACACAAGAGGTGGTGTAAGCAGAGACCTAGGTTCTTAAATTTTAATTGTGCTTCTTTTGCTTAGAGTTCTTTTGTTTTCTAACTCCTTATATATGTCTCATGTAAAATATCACAGTTCTTTTGTGAGATTGAAAAAGTGTCTTTAAGGTGCTGTTGGTATACAGACTGTTGAAACACTGCATACACAGTATACTGACCCAGGAGAACAGTGCCTTGCAGCGTGATAGAGAGGAATGCCCTCAGTTTTTTGAGCCAGATAGTCTTTGGTTTAAATTTTAGCTCTGCCACTTATTTGTTCCGTAACTTTGGGCAATTTGTTTTACTATTTTGGACAATGCTTATCTCATGTGTAAAAAGGGTATGTTAATACCTTTGTTAGATCACTATGAGGATTAAATGAATATTACATGCAGAGTACTTAGCACATAGGGAGCAGGCACTGAATAACTATTGACTGTTATCTCTCAATCCTCAGTCTTGAATTTGCAAACTAATTGGTATTGTCTCTGAAAGTAAATGAAGTATGGATGGAGTTTTTGCAGTTCTCCCAAAGAAAAATTATTTTATAAAGTAAAGCTGTTACAATTGCTGTTTGTCATATTCTTTAGGTTGGTAACAGGGAAGATGCTGAGAAGGAAATACCTTCTTCTACTTTCTCATCCAGTACCAAGGTATCCTGCCCACTATGTGACAAAGGCTTCCCACCCACAAAGATTGAGCGACATGCCATGTACTGTAATGGGCTGGTGGGGCAAGATATAGGTAAGGACTTATCTGTCTGTGTGATAGTTTTGTAATTCTATACAATACAGTGCAGAAAAAAGAGACAATTCTTCAAAGTTATAGTTGTTTTTTGTTTTGATTTCTATCTAATTAGTTTTTAGTACTTTTCATGTCCTTTATTATTTTGGCAGGTATGTTATTTTGTGGCACATACCTGAGGAGAAGGGGAAGGGGGAAATCTTCTGTCTTTTTAATGTTTCAACTTGTTCTTTGCCATAGTAGGCCAAAATGCAGTGCGATGCCATGGACTTTGCATTTCAACTTATATATTCAAATATTGAGACTCCTGTAGAACTTGAGGAACTAAGATCTGGAGTTGCCCATTTTCAATTCAAAATAAGTGCCTCGTGTGTGTGTGTGTGTGTGTGTGTGTGTGTGTGTGTGTGTGTGTGTGTGTGTAACTAAACTCTTACCTAAAGACAGCAGCTGAAAAGTATTTCTAATTTCCATTCATGTGCTACATGTCTCTACTGTATCCCCCTGAAGCTATTGGTTACCTTTTTTTGAGTGTGTGTTAATCCTCACCCGAGGATAATTTTTTCCATTGATTTTTAGAGAGACTCAGGCCAGGGGTTGAACCTGCAACCCAGGTATGTGCCCTTGACCGACAATCAAACCCATGACCTTCAGTGCACGGGCTGATGCTCTACCCACTGAACCACACTGGCCTAAGTCCTATATTATTCTGTAACTTGTCTTTTTTAATTTAACAGTAAATTTAGGTCTTTCCATGTGCAGACAGTTTTTATATAGTTGAGATTTGACTAATGTAAAGTTTTGTATTTTGCTTTTTCTACTTATAACATTTCCTTCATGAGTCACTAAAAGTTAGATGTAAAAACATTTTAATGCCTATGTAATATTTTGTAATCCAAATTGCCTCCATTTTCTTAACTGTGTTTAGAATGCTTCAAGTTGCCATGTACATGGCACTGAGCCTCCTATGCTTAAAGTTGTTGCTATATTTTGGGGTCATTTTCCAAGGATATATTTCTAGTTTGGGTGGTAGTAAAAAAGGGGGGCTCTGGAGTTCAATTAATCTGAGGTTGAGTCCCACCTCTGTCACTAGAGTATGTGACCCTAACTAGTTTCCAAGCTTTCCTTTATTCATCTGTCAAGTAATAGTAGTAATGACCTTATTTGTTTTTTGTGAGATTGAGTATTTTAAGGAAATGCCTAGCACAGTGCCTAGCATACAGTAAGTACTTAAGAACTTTCAGGTGCTGTTACTACTCACAATAGTGAATTACTAGGTCAAATATTTTGTCATAATTTTTAAGGTTCTTTATGAATAGCATTGTAGTCTTAAATACAATGAAAGGTGAAGACCTAAATCTGGTCATCAACATCTTTTAATAGAAGAGCATTGAAGGCCTAGGATTCTAGATGCAGTTTAATTTGACATAGCTCTTTAGTCTGATTTTTAGCAGAGAGTTCCAATGGCTGAAAGAATTCTGGGGCTAGGCATTTGGTGACCAGAGAAAGAAGATACTGTCATGTGTATCTCACCAAACATGCTTACCCAATTGGTATTGTCTGTGTCAACAACCTACTCAGCATTGAGGTCCAGAAATAAATGAGTTTGAGAAGCTAGGCTTAGCCTGGGCTGTAAAGGCTGGATAGATTTGGATAAACCCATAAGAAAGTAGGGGTCCCTATATTTTCTTGTGGATTAGATAAGATAGGAAGCAAGGGAAACAGCATTAAACAATAGCTTCCTCTTAATCTTCCTAGTGGTGTTAGCTTGCTAATAACCTAAATTACCCTCTCTGGTGACATTTTAGGCCTTATGAGAGAATTTGGAGGAGGGAGTCCTCACTAGACCTATCCCATTCTCTAGGAACAGAATTTGGGGCTGTAGGTAGGGTGGGGAAGTTAGAGGAATTATGTAAAATACCTATTAGTGTGCCTGGCATAGGTCCTCAGTAAGTTTGCTGTGTATTTGGTTTCTCTACCAGCTTGCCTGCCCCTGTCATCCTTGCCAGAAGTAGTGATTGTTCTGGTTCCTCTCAGCTTTATATCTGAAGACAGAGGCAAGCCTTCAGCCTAATTTTTTTTTTACCTTTGGTAAAAGGATGCTTCTCTTAATATGGAGTGGAAAAAGTTACTCTTGAAAATACATGACCCAGGTTGGGAGACCAGTAGCCTAGTGCCTAAGGGTACGGAATAAGAGAGAGACCTCCCAGAGTTAAATATCCAGCTTTACCCTCCTTCCTGTTTTCCTCTGAATCTGATCCTAGACATGCTTGGTTTGCCTGTGTTAAAAAAAAAAAAGTAATTAGAGTCATTTACATGAAGTGTCTACCATTTATGCCTAGTTACTGTGCAGCACAATAACAATTATGCATATCATTAAATATGTGTCTGATTAACTTTGCTGTAAGTTTTATGTTTTTATAATATGTACTACACTGGTTACATTGGCTCAGCTGCTCACTCATTGCTCAATGCCATTACTATCTATTCACAACTATGGAAAAATTAGAGCGATCTTTAAAGGCACTGTTTAAGGGGAAAGGATTTGCTAAATTAATCTAGACTAGGACAAAGGCAGCTTGCCTTTGCTTTCTGGAAAATGTCTTTGAGATCATTTTATTTTTAAATAAATCTTTATTGTTGAAAGTATTATATATGTCCCCACTTTCCCTCCCATGGACCCCCTGCAGCCTGCCCCTGTCCTCCACCTGGGTCTTCAGCATCCTATTGTCTGTGTCTATGGGTTATGCATATATGCATACAAGGTCTTTAATTGATTACCTCCCACCTACCCACCCTCCCCCGCTTTCCCTCTGAGAGTCTGCACTCTGTTCCATGCTTCCATGTCTCTGGATCCACTCCGTTCATCAGTTTATTTCGTTACTTAGATTCCACATATGAGTGAGATCATGTGATACTTATCTTTTTCTGACTGACTTATTTCACTCAGCATGATATTCTCCAGGTCCCTCCATGCTGTCTCAAAGGGTAAGCGATTCTTTTTTTTAACTGCTGCATAGTATTCCATGTTATAAATGTACCACAGCTTTTTAATCCACTCATTTGCTAATGGGCACTTGGGCTGTTTCCAGATCTTAGCTATTGCAAATTGTGCTGCTATGAAGATAGGGGTACATACGTTCTTTCTGATTGCTGTTTCAGGATTCTTAGGATATTCCTAGAAGTGAGATTGCTGGGTCAAATGGCAGTTCCATATTTAATTTTTCGAGGAAACTCCATACTGTTTTTCATAATGGTTATACCAGCCATAATTCCCACCAGCAGTGTACTAGGGTTCCCGTTTTTCCACATCCTCGCCAGCACTTGTCATTTGTTGATTTATTGATGGTAGCCATTCTGACAGGTGTGAGGTGATACCTCATTGTTGTTTTAATTTGCATTTCTCTGATGATCAGTGACTTTGAACATTTTTCTGTATGTCTCTTGGCCATCTGTATGTCCTCTTTGGAGAAGTGTCTATTTAGGTCCTTTGCCCATTTTTTAATTGGATTGTTTGCCTTCCTTTTGTTAAGTTGTATAAGTTTCTTATATATTTTGGATATTAACCCTTTATCAGATGTATCATTGCCAAATATGTTCTCCCACACAGTGGGTTTTCTTTTTGTTTTATTGATGGTTTCTTTTGCTGTGCAGAAGCTTTTTATTTTGATGTAGTCCCATTTATTTATTTTCTCCTTAGTGTTTTTTGCCCTAGGACAGGGGTGGGCAACCTTTTTGTGAGTGCGTGCCAAAACCAGCAAAATCTCTGACTCAAAATTCTTCTGCATGCCAACCCTAATTTTTTGAGAACATGTTACGCCTACTTGATATCTCTTAAGGTGTACATATGTGAAGAACCTTGAAGAAATAATAAAATTCATTCGAGCGACAAAAACACAG